GCACATGGGATGAGCGTGGGAAGCGGGACGGGGCGCGAGCGGTCCCCGCGCGGGCGTGCAGCGGGGGCCCCAGCATGGCCGCGCGAGATGCGGGCGCGGGCGAGCAACGTCTGGCCAGCACCGGCCCATGCGTGGACGTGCGAAAACAGACTGCAGCCGTGGACGTCCGTCCGAAATGTTCGGGCGCTAGCAGTGCCAAAAAAATTGGCGGGACGATCATGAAGCAACCATAGGCACCAGCTCAACCATATGCATCTGCTGCGGATCTATGATACATGGTCATGCACATGCATCTAACATAATCTAACATATAAGAATGTTATATAAATTCATGAGTATCGGGGAAAAATAGCTCCCACGGGTTAGGTGCATGAGCATGGATCTATGGCTATGCCACTCGGACTATCCCCACTGATTGTTTTTTTGACTCACGTTCTCTGTTTCAATAATTTTTTAGCCCATATGCATTTAGTTTGGAGGATGAAGTAGGATGGGACGGTCGATCCTATTTTCGAGTTTTATTTTCGGAGACTCACGAGGACAGGATCCATGAAAGCGAGGTTGCCCCATCCCTCTGAATCAAGGGGACCGGTGAGTCCCCCTTCTTGTTCGTGTGTGACAGCTAAGCGTGAGTGAGGCAGCAGAGTGGCGCACGGAAGGTGAGCTAGCTAGCAGCGGCCCATGCGAAGCGAGCTACAATGGCGACGTTGGCGGATGCGTCTATGAAGAGCAGAGTTGGTGGCTACACAGCGCACACAGGGCAAGCTGCAACGGTGGTGCTTCCAAGCTCAACTGTGGAGGGGCAAGCGTGGTGGGTGGGCTAAGGACGGAGCAACACGTGTGGCGGTAGCTGCGGGTGCTGGCGAGCTTGGCCATGGAGGGGATAGCTGGAGGCGGAGTGGCACTCACGGTGGTGAGCTACGGTTAGGGGGAAGAACGGAAAAGAGGATGACGAACGGATCCCGCTATCAAATGACTCATACCATATTTTGATGTTCTCAAATCAAACACAGAATAAGGATGGTCCTAACCTTTAAAACCAAACACACAACATGAATGGTTCCGTCCCAAAAAGCACCAAGTGTTAAGCTATGTTAATGAAAGTGCTGACTATTATATTATTCAATAATTCCCAAAGCCAACCTCCTCAAGGATGGTGATTGTGCTAGTTTAAACATGAAATTTCAAATTTGAGGAAAACTAACCCCGAAGATTATATATTTGTCTCCTTGGAGGAATATCTCGTATTTATCTCTTATGCTGAAATTAGTATTTTTTTATTCTTTTAACAAATGTATAGTTGAAACTATGTTACCCTTCATAAATAAATCTAATTGTTTCACTAGATATTTTTTTTCCAATTCCAACGGTACTCACAGTTTGCAAGAATCGTGGCAAGCGCGGCAGTGTACAGATAGACTTGTAATAAGTTGACTTGACCTGCTACCCTGTCAGCTATCAAAATAACCTATGGATGAATCATGTCCACACGATATATTCTGGAAGCGATCATCACAAAAAAAAAAAGAAATTTGATTTCAACACGAAAATCCGTCACCGTAGACCATTCCGCGAGCTAATTTTTGTCAGCATCGAAACCGCACCAGACAGGTCGAACATCAGCCTGGAATATCTCTGTCCGTTTCCTGCTGAAAAGTACTCTGGGATTCTAGGCTGGACACGCCGTAACAATCTTGTCCACCTCAAACAACGACGGCGCAGCTGCGCGACGTGATGGAAGCTGAATAGTGGCGGTAACTGACGAGTTTGACGGACTCAAGGTCCTCGCTGAGATGGCGGTCAAGCTAAGATGTGGTGCCGTGTGTGGATGTAATGGTGCTGTAAACTGTTTTTAAACCCCCTGGGGTCTCATCTGCCAGCAGAGCATCCAACTTAAAGCTTCAATCTCCAACTAGCAAGCAAAGCGAAGCAGATCAAAAGGACTACCGGCGGAGCAGAGGTACCCTACTTTCTCTTACTGCTGTCAGTACTTAATTGTCCGTTTTAGCTGTCAGTACTTAATTGTCAGTACTTAATTGTCCGTACTTAATTGTCCGTTTTAGCTTGTTCGCTGCAGTTGTGTTTGGTTTCTCGTTATAGTGGGCATCTGCCTTCCCTTTCTTAAAAATGGGGATCGTTCGAAGTTCTGATTACAGCATGAACACAGCGTGGTTTCTTTAGTAATAGCGCCAAGTTTATGCTTTATTAATCATTGCAGGTGTCAATTAAGTGCATCATGCGTCATTCCAAACCGCCGGCGAAACTCGCCATGGTTGTGGTGTTGCCTCTGTTACTGCTGTGTTATGGAGTCGGCAACGTCCATTGCTCGACGGTTCATGAAAACAGCGAAGATTTTCAGTCATTGCTCGAGTTCAAGAAAGGCATCCTCGACCATAATGGAGCCATGAACAATTGGAACCCGAATACCCACTTCTGTCGGTGGTATGGTGTGAAGTGCACCATGACGCGGCGGCCATTACGTGTCACGCAACTCAACCTCTCCGGCAAAAACTTAGCTGGCAATATCTCTTCCTCTCTTGGAAATCTGGCCTTCCTTGAAAAGCTTGATCTATCGAATAACAGCTTCTATGGCCCCATTCCTGACGCACTCACAAACTGTTCCAACCTAGCCTATCTGCTTCTCTCTAGAAACCACCTCACTAGTGTTATTCCTCCTACAATAGGTTTTCTTACCAGTCTAAAACGTGTCATCCTTGACAGTAATTATCTCACTGGGGGAATCCCAGCAGCCCTCAGAAACATCACCAATCTACAAATACTCAGTTTTACACAAAATCAACTCATTGGAAGCATTCCTCGAGAGGTTATGCAAATGCCAAATATATTGGAGTTGTACCTAAACCAAAACAACCTATCAGGTGGAATTCCTGAGGTTTGGCAGATGCCAAACATAGAGATGTTAGACCTAAGCCAAAATAACCTAACAGGTAGATTCCCACAAGATCTATCTAGTGTATCTTCTCTTCAGGAATTATCCTTGACATCCAATATGCTAGGCAACACATTACCATCTAACATTGGTTATGCTCTACCTAATCTCACGATTCTACTGTTGGCAAGCAACAATTTTGAGGGTCCCATTCCAGCTTCTCTAGGAAAACCTGCAGGTCTAGGAACAATAGATATATCAGACAATCGTCTCACTGGCCAAATCCCAAACTCTTTAGGAAACCTCACGGTGCTTTCTTATCTTAACCTTGAAAAAAACATGCTTCAAGCAACGGACAATGAAGGTTGGGAATTCCTCCATACCCTGGGAAATTGTCGTTCTCTATCAGTTTTTGCATTGTCTCATAATAACCTACAGGGAACCATACCAAATTCTATTGGAAACCTATCCATCAGTCTTACACGGTTGCTAATGTCTGAAAACAACCTATCAGGAATAGTTCCCCCGAGTATTGGAAAACTTAGTTCCTTAGTTCAACTATCTCTATATCATAACAATCTAACCGGTATAATTAAAGAATGGGTCGAAAATATGACAAAACTAGAACTTCTGAATCTCCAATCGAACAGCTTCATCGGGACAATTCCACCTTCCATGAGCAGCCTTACTAATTTGTTCCTTTTGGATTTTTCAAATAATAAATTCACTGGTTCAGTACCACCTAGCTTGGGAAACCTTCAACACATGAACAACTTGAACCTTAGCTACAACAATTTCCATGGGATCATACCAGTTGAGTTTGGTAATCTAAAACAACTAATCTCACTAGATGTTTCCTCAAACAAAATTAGTGGTGAAATTCCTGAAACTTTGGGGCAATGCCAACAGCTAGTGACAATCCAAATGGACCAAAACATTCTTACAGGAAACATCCCAACCACATTCAGCAATCTATATAGCTTGAGCGTGCTCAATCTTTCCCATAATGTTTTGTCTGGCCCCATGCCAGCTTACCTAAATAATCTAGAGCTTCTCACTATATTAGACCTCTCTTACAACAGTTTCAATGGAGAAATACCAAGAAACAGTTTATTCAATAATGCTACAGTTGTTTCACTCATTGGCAATCCTGGACTTTGTGGAGGACCCATTGATTTTCATGTGCCTTCATGCCAAGTTGTTTCTAGAAGAGTAGGAGCCATAAACAATTTGTTCAAAACATTGATCCCAATTTTTGGCTTCATGACACTCATAGTGCTGGCATACATTATATTCCATGGGAAGAAGAAAACATCAGGAAGGCCATACTTATTGCTATTTTCTTTTGGCAAGCAATTCCCTAAAGTTTCTTACAATGATGTAGTCCAAGCTACAGGAAACTTCTGTGAGTTAAACCTAATTGGAAGAGGAAGCCATGGTTCAGTTTACAAAGGAAAAATAACTTTTGCTAAAATGCATGTGGCGATTAAGGTTTTTGACCTTGGGATGAGATGCGCAGACAAAAGTTTCATATCAGAATGTGAAGTGTTGAGTAGAATCCGTCATCGGAACCTTCTTCCTATCCTAACGGCATGTTCAACGATAGACAACAATGGAAATGATTTTAAAGCTCTAATTTATGTGTTCATGCAGAATGGGAATCTCGACACATGGTTGCATCACAAACCTTCAAGTGTAGCCTTGAAACGTTTGGGCATGATAGAAAGAATCAACATAGCCGTCAGCATAGCTAATGCCTTGGCATATTTACACCACGACTGTGGGAGGCCTGTTGTCCATTGTGATCTGAAACCAACTAATATCCTTCTTGATGATGATATGAATGCCCATTTGGGAGACTTTGGCATTGCAAGTTTAGTTCTTGATTCTAGGTCAACAGAAGGTGGACATTCTGGGCCTAATAGTTCAGTTGTTGGACATTCTGGGCTTAATAGTTCAGTTGTTGTGACGGGAACTATAGGATATATTGCTCCAGGTGTGTATATAATATATTCATTGCCACGTCAAACCTTTGCATAAGGCAATCTTTTACTCGTTTCTTAAAAAGTTAAGGAACTAATCAGAGGATTTTATATACTTTATTTTTCAGAGTATGGTCAAAGTGTTCATGCATCAACATGTGGGGATGTCTACAGTTTTGGTATAGTACTTCTGGAGATGGTAATAGGCAAACGACCAACTGACCCGATGTTTGAGAATGAACTCAACATTGTTAGCTTTGTGGAGAGTAATTTTTCAGATAAAATATTAGGCAAGATTGATGCTCATCTCCAAGAAGAATGCAAGTGCACTATACAAACAGTGCCAGAAGCAGAACAGGAGATCTATCGATGCTTGCTATCAGTGGTGCAAGTTGCTCTTTCTTGCACGCGTCTATCGCCAAGAGAACGAATGAACATGAGAGAAGTAACCATTAACTTGCATGCAATCAGGAGGTCATACATTGCAGCGATCAAGCGACAGTAAGTCATGTTTCGCTGGAGTGGTGCCCAACATGCCAATGCCATGGCCCATGGAGCTTAGATAGATAGATAGTTTAGTGTGTCTTTGGTGACAGCAGGCCTGATGACAAATTAGCCATGAGTGGCCTGCTGAAATTGACAAAAAAATTCCTGCTAGCAAGATGTATGTGTCAGAGGTGAGTTTTGTACACTAGCTGAAACTAAGACTTAGTTTGTGAACATTATTAGTTTGTGAACATACCCGTCGATGCAGCCGCCGGTCGGCCCATCACCTGTCCGCGCGCCGAGACGCTTCGACCTCAGAAGCTCGGACGACTCGCCTCCGCCCTAGCTGATTTTACTCCTGTATACTGCATGACTGCACAGAAGCCGGAACCTGTAACCGTAAGCCACGCTGCGCCGTTAATTTGTCTGTGATCCTAAAGGACCGAAAACGGCGATCAGAGAGGGTGAATGGGAGCCGATAAAAAATTTCTTCGCCGCAGAGCTTGGCCTATGTCCCAATTATAACCTAACACACCTCTCTTTTACTTGCCAAGGTCACACACTAACTGGTAATATGTTGACCCTAGAAACAATTTGAAATATCTCAAACAGTGCGAAAGCGAAGCGACAAGTCATGAATAGAATTACTTGCTAATTAGCCGGCCAACAAAAGCTCTAAATATCATGCAAAATATTAAACCAAGAGCTACAGTTAAGGCATGCCAGATAAAGCAATTAAATCAAGCTTCAGCTTTGAAATGCACTATCAGCTAGCAGGAGGCTAAAAACTAAAATACAGGATGACCTTACTCCTAAAAAGCTGAAAAGACAAAGCTACAACTCCTGTTCCTATTGTCGGTGCGAAATGTGGCCGACAAGTAATTATTTGTAGTTTTGCCGCGTGTTGTGATCGGATGTGGCCTAGCACTCAATGACACATGATTTATACTGGTTCAGGCAACGGGACCTACGTCCAGTTGAGGTCGGTCGGTGATTTTATTCCTGAGCCCAGGTGCTCGAAGTTTGCTGTGGGGTTACAAACGAGTAAGGAATGAGAAGGGGGTGTTAGAGGCCCGGTCGGACTCCGAACCCCGTGGCCGAGAGTGACGGGGGCTCTAACATATACTGAGTATTGGAGCGTATGCTTTGTGTGTCTTTAGAGCTGTTGAGCTGTTGTGTTCTCGAGTTGTTGTGAAAGTCTTTGAGAGAGAGCGAGCGAGCGAGCGAGCGAGCGAGAGAGAGAGAGAGAGAACAAGCCAGAGCGAGAGCTAGCCTCCTTTTTAGGAGAGAGCGCATCCCCTTTTATAGTTGAAAGGGGTGGCCTTATAAGTCAGAAAGAGAGAGAGAGTGTGTATACGTGTGCTGCCTAGTCTTGTTGCTCACGCCATCTGGTATGGGATGCCTGCCCACGCCCACAATACTGTTTATGCCTAAACGCGTCTAGCAGGCTCTACCGTGTTCGCTTGGTACGGTAAACGACGGCGCCCACAATACTGTTTATGATCTGATGCGTCTGGCAGGCTCTACCATGTTCGCCTATCATGCCCCGACGACACCGTCCTGCAGGTGCACAGGGCATGGCAGGGTATGGTCCTTGGTATTGCGGTTGACTTGAGCGCCTTATCTTATCTGCTCCGCCTGCTCCCTGGGCCCACACTGAGCGAGCGTCCCCGATCGGTTGCTCCCAGTTGGCCCCGACCGTGTCGGTAGGGAAAGAGCAGCGAGCAGAGGTCCGACATATCCTCGGTCGGAGTCAGACTATGGTTCCACCAGGGTCAGGCCTTCCGGTCGGGGCTCACTCAGAGGTCGGGCGAGGCGGAGCCTGCCCCTAGAGGTCGGGTGAGGCGGAGCCTCCAATCTAGAGGTCGGGCGAGGCGGAGCCCCTGACCCAGAGGTTGGACGAGTGCGGAGCTCAAACCCAAGGGGTCAGGTGAGACAAAGTAGGTCACCGCGCAGTGGGTGCTGGAGGCTCGCCGTTCAACCGTGGCTGCAGATGTGCGCCGGGAAGACGTCGTCTAGCCTACGGAGGCAGCGGGGACCAAATCATGGTCTTGGCCCGTTATTGTGTATCTGGGTCAGCCCAGGCGTGTGCTATCGTTGCGCCGCCTCCTGGGCCGTGTTTTGTAGGGAAGCGGGTCCATTGGGGACCCTGGATTTATGAACCTGATAGGAGACTCCGAGCCCCCTTGGGGCTTCTGTGAAGCCATGAAGGGGCTGTTGAGTTGGAACCTCGATGTTTTCCCCTTTGGTTTGTTGTACCGCGTAGGGTAACCGAGTAGGTTTTAGGCACCTAGCCTCCATGTGGAGGACCGGCAAAGGCTGCAGAGGCGTGCTGGAGGGATATTGGCACCCAGCCCCTAAGGAGGGGACTGGCGAAGGTCGCGGAGGCATGCTATGCAAACATAGGCGCCCAACCCCTGAAGAGGAGACTCACTGGTAATCCATTTTCTATCGGCTGCGCATGAGCGCACCCGGTGGGTGTAGCCTCCGAGCCTGCAGTCGACTGGGGAGTCGATCAGAAGCTGAGAACCTTGGTACTCTTTTTTGAGGTTGTGAACTCTTGTGTCTCTTTCGGTCGGGGTGTTGGCCCGTGTCCGTTCTGACCACAACTTGTGTGGTCGGCTGGATTCCTGAGTCAGGGTCGGGTGGCCTGAGCCCCCGAGCCCCATTGGGCTCGGTAAGGGTTGGTCAGTTTCGTGCGTCACCCCATCCGTGGTTTCCACAATCGGAGGGGTTGAGCTAACGTCGGTTGCCTCAATGGCTCGAGTGACCTGCTTAGTGAGCTTACTAACAGGCATGTACGAGTGGAATCTAGGTCCGTCATTCATAACAGGGTCGGCATGGCCCTCATGTGGCATTCCACTGCTCCTTAACCCTCCTCACGGCAGATGCCTGAGCTGTTCTGGAGACCAACTCAGGTGGCCCGCTGTCCTCCCCTCGATGGAGATTCTGTGGGCATGGCTCGAGGTCAGGATTGAACGAGAAGGTCGAGATGACCCTGCCCACTTCTGAGCGGATCGGGCGAAGGCCGTTGGGGCTCATCTGTGTTTTCTCCGCTGGCTCTGTTTGACGCGAGGTGGCCTCGAGCCCTTCGCGGGCTGGCCTTCGAACCCCGGTCGGTCGCTGCTCATATTGAATGAGACGACTACCGCTTTGTGATGCGATGCGAAGCGTTGTGATGCAACAATTGCATATGCAATGCTTGGATGTATGGGATGAATGTATGGATGAATGTATGAATGCATGCATGAGAATGGATGAATGAATGATCTTGCACTGGAAAAGTATAATGGGGGTTGGTAAAGTTACCTCGATGGCTCGAGTGGCGGGTTCGGGGAGCTCCTATCGGATATGTCGGAGTGGAATCCAAGTCTGTCGTTCATGATGTAGTCGGCATAACCCGCATGGGGCATCCCACTGCTCCTTACCTGTCTCTTGGCAGTCGCTCGAGCCGTCTGATCGACTCAGGTGGCCAGTTGGCCTCTCCTAGATGGAGATTCTATCGGTGGGCCGCTCCAAACCCTATCTGGGAAGGCGGAGGGTCGTTTGTGTGTGGTTGCGCCTCGTTTCCCATGCCCGGGTTGCGATAGTGGGGGTCCCCACCCAGGCGACATTTTGTTGGGCATGCCGTGTCCCATCAGCCAGGGCCACGAACCCAAGGGGTCAAGCGAGACGAAGCACGAACCCAAGGGGTCAGGCGAGATGGAGTAGGTCACCGCATAGTGGGTGATGGAAGCTCCCCATTCGACCGTGGCTGCAGATGTGCGCCGGGAAGACGTTGTCCAGCCTACGGAGGCAGCGGAGGCCGGGTCGGAGGCGAGCGTCGTCTCGCCCCCAACCGAGCCAAACGTCGTTCTGACCGCAGCCGAGCTGCCTTCATCCTTGTCAATCGCACTACCAGCCGACGCAGCCGGGGGGCCATAATGGAATTAGATTAGAAATAGTCAGTTTATGTAAAATATGAATTCATGGGGGAGCCCCCATGTGAACAGTTTTACATTCATGAATATTTTAAGTTTGTTTTGTGATGAAATCACTCATGAAGGGAAGCTTGTCCCGTCCGTCCTTGTTTTTACCCTTGCGTAGCTTTGTTTTTTGTCCTTTCTTTTTCGCACTTGCCCGTTGACCCATAGGCTGCAACCTTACAAACCCGGGCGTGGCCCGTGAGGCTCAGCTGCTCATAACCATAGGTCGTGGCGGGGTGTGATCAGTCGGGAGGTTAAAGCACAAGTTACATAGGATAATCAAAGGAATGGCATGCCTTTTTGTTTGGGCGACACCCTTTCGTTTGGGCAAAAAGTATTACTACATGATAGTAAAAAAGGGGGTGTTATCGCACCCCCGTGGAGCCCCCGAGCGACCCCGGACGAGAGTGCTCGGGCTGGGGCGCTGTAGGAGAAAACGTTGAATGGAAATAAACGGTAAGACCGAGCTTTAGGAAAAGAAACTACATAACTGTTCGATGTTCCATGTGTTGGTGAGAACGTTGCCATTGTCGTCCTTCAGCTGGTAGGCTTCCAGTCAGATCACCTCGGCCATTGCGTATGGTCCTTCCTATGATGGAGAGAGCTTATGTTTGTCCTTGGTGGACTATGTCCTCTTGAGTACGAGATCACCGACCTTGAGGACCCTCCCCCTGATTTTTCTTTCATGGTACCTATGGAGAGTTTGCTGGTAACGAGCGGAGTGAATGATGGTCATCTCACGAGCCTCCTCGAGTAGGTCGACCATGTCCTGCTGAGCCTCCACGACTCAGTCTCGGTCGAAGGCCTTTACTCTTGGGGCACCGTGATCGAGGTTGGATGGCAACACTGCTTCGGCTCCGTATACCAAGAAGAAAGGGGTGAACCCCGTGGATCGGTTTGGGGTCGTTCTTAGGCTCCAGAGGATCACTAGGACCTCTGCAACCCATCGCCCAGCATATTTTTTAAGTCAATCAAAGATGCGAGGCTTGAGTCCTTGGAGGACCATGCCGTTGGCCCGCTCAACCTGACCGTTAGTACGCGGGTGTCCGACCAA